ATTATTATTATTATTATTATTATTATTATTATTATTATTATTATTATTATTATTATTATAGTAGCATGAAGAGACACGCGCACACAAGTGTTACTGGACGAGACATAACTTTAATACATTCCACTCGAACAGCTTGGACACTTTCACTTTCACTGAACTGTTACTCATGAACTCAAGTGCGACGTACTACACATAACAACAACACACCTCAACAATTTGGTTTAAGGTTAGTCTCCACACACCTCCCCCCAGCACAGACGTCTCATGGGATCATTGGTACCGTGCGGGTGGACGCACATGACGTCCAGCACGTGACATGAGTTGTCTGTGGTGACTGCCTCCGTTGCTTGCTCTCGTCCATCGGTGTTCCTAACGGTAAGCTTAGGTTCCCGCAACACAGGATGGTGGCCGCGTCGTGCTGGTTGCTGTAGATGGACAGGTTGGGTAGGGTCTACCTGTGCAGGTTTGAGGTGATCTACTGAGATGCGTTCCGTGCGGCCTCCGATGTCCAGAAGGAAGGTCTTTTCTCCTGGGGCGAGAACCGTGTAAGGACCTGTGTATGGTCTTTGAAGTGAACCTTTCGCGGTATCTGTGCAGATGTAAACATACTTCGCTGTTAACAAAGATGCTGGGAAGTATGTGACTGGGTCACTGTGGTGGACAGCCGGTCTAGGCCAGGTGAACTGTGCTTTAGTTCGAAAGGTTGATACAAAATATGTTGCTGACCAGGCAGATGCTTCAGAGGATAAAAGATCACCTGGAAAGGTCAGTGGCTCCCCAAAGATCAGTTCTGCTGATGAAATATCGCAGGTCATCCTTGGGAGCGGTTCGTAGCCCAAGGAGTACCCAAGGAAGTTCTTTCACCCAGTTGTTACCTGTGAGTCTGGCCTTCAATGCCGTTTTAAGTGAGCGATGGAACCATTCGATCATTCCATTTGCTTGGGGGTGAAAAGCCGTTGTTCTATGTAAGCGGACTCCAAGGCGTTGAGCTATGTCAGTCCAAATTGCAGAAGTGAATTAAGATCCTCGGTCCAATGACATATCGACAGGGACACCTAAACGGGAGATCCAGCCTCCTACGAGAGCATTAAACACATTCGTCTGTTGTTGTTGTTATGTTAGGCATAAGGATCGCCTCTGGCCACCGTGTGTTGCGGTCAATAATTGTCTAAAGATACCGTTGACCACAGCACTGAGAAGTGGACCTACTATATCAATATTGATGTGTGAAAACCCCTTGTCGGGTACTCTAAATGTCTCTAGGGGAGCACGGGTGTGTTTCTGGATTTCCGACGTGTGGCATTCGTAACACTGTTTCACCCAACCACTAACCTGACGTCGTAGGCCATGCCACACAAACTTTTCGGAGATGAGCTTGACAGTAGCCTTAACCCCTGGGTGTGCAAGGTTGTGTACAGACTCAAACACCTGGCGTCTGAACTCTGTAGGAACAATGGGCCGAGCTCTGCCAGTTGAAATGTCGCAAAGGACTTCAGGACCTTTGTCGCTCAACTTCGTTTTAACGACTTTTATACTTGTGAAAGCTGAAGTGTAGGCCTGTATATCAGCTGTACTTGACTGCTGAGCTGCTGCTAAGGCTGCAAAATCTATGCCCAGTGAGACTGCATTAGTGGTGATCTCAGCACGTGAGAGATAATCGGCAAAAATATTTGTCTTCCCAGATATGTGCCTGATGTCAGTGCTGAATTCTGAGATAGCAGATAACCGCCTTTGCTGCCGAGCTGACCACAAGTCTGTAGTTTTTGACATTGCAGAGACCAATGGTTTGTGATCGGTGTAGATAATAAATTGCCTACCTTCCACCATATACCGGAAATGGCGTATTGCAAGGTGGACACCTTAAAGCTCTCTATCAAAGGTGCTGTATTTCATTTCTGACTTACGTAGTTGCCGGCTGACAAAGGCGAGAGGCTCCCAACGATCATTCTTCATGTATTGCTCGAGGACTGTCCCGACAGCCACATTAGATGCATCCCAAGTGAGAGCAATTGGGCAGTCAGCACACGGATGAACCAGAATGGATGCGTTTGCCAAGGCTTGTTTACCCGAAAGGAATGCCTGGTTCATTTCATCGGTCCAACTTAGAGCTTGACAAGATTTCTCTGTTTTCAGAGCGTGATAAGGTGGGTGCAAAATCGCAGCGATGTTGGGAATGAAACGATGGTAAAAATTCAGTACACCCAGAAACTCCTGCAGCGCTTTGACTGTACGTGGCTTAGGAAACTCCTTAACGACATCAACCCCAGATGGCATAGGTGTTGAACCTGGCGCAGAAACCCGGTGTCCTAAAAAATCTAGTGATGGAACGCTAAAAAGAAATTTTTCCACTTTAATCACCAATCCATGGTGTCGCAGCCGCTGAAAAACTGCGTGGAGGTCGTCGACGTGAGACTGGGCTGATGAACTAGCAACTAGGATATCGTCCAGATATACAAACGCACAATCTAGGTCCTGAAGCACTGTATCCATTAGTCGCTGAAATGTTTGTGCTGCATTCTTTAACCCGAATGACATCCTCAAGAATTCCCACAAACCGAAGGGTGTGATCACTGTTGTTTTAAGTACGTCCTCGGGCGCCATGGGGATCTGATGATATCCTGGAGCAAGATCAATTTTAGAGAAAATGTTCTTACAGTTAGACGAGCAGAAAAGTCCTGAATGTGGGGTATGGGGTAACGATCTGGGACTGTAACATTGTTCAACTTGCGGTAATCTATACATGGGCGGGAACCTCCGTCGTTTTTAGGCACAACATGCAGAGGCGATGCCCAGGGGCTGTTTGATTTCCGTAATTATGCCCATTTTCTCCATCTCAAGGAACTCCTTCTTTGGAGACGCGAGTTTGTCTGGAATCAGGCGACGAGCACGAGAAAAAAACAGGTCGATCTTTGGTGGGAATAAAGTGTTGCAAACCATGCTTGACATCTGCTGTGGAAAAGTAGACTTTAAGAGTTCTGGATACTCGTAGAGAATCTTGCGGAATCTATTGCTTGATGGTTCTATGAGAGCCAGATCTGGGGCAGTTGAAATGGAACAGACCGAGCAAGAGATATGCGAGAAGGTTTCTGCCTCAATTAGACGGTGTCCTCGAACACAACTAATAAATTGTGCTGCCGGAGGAAATCAGCCCCAGTAAAGGTCGCTTAACATTGGCTGATATCAAACGTGCTTTAAACACACGGTCACCGACATGAAGAGGAATAACTTTGGATCCATAGGTCGCTATGGTTGTTCCGTTGGCTGCTTGCAAGGGTGGACCTGTCGCACCTGACGTTCCTTCAGCCCATGACGCTGTTGTCACAGAGACTTTGGATACTGTGTCTATCAAGAAACGTTGTTTTGACTTAATGTCTGTGACAAACAGCTAAGTTGCTTTAGAATCTGTCGTCGGTGTCGTAGGAGTTGTTGTTGAGCAACATTGCGGACCAACAGTCGGATCTTCTACTTCTACTGCTGGCCCGCTCTCCCGTTTCCCTGATGTTTTTTTTGTGTTGGAAATTCTTAAAGTGCTTGCATGGACTACTGCAGCGTCTTGCGTTGGACCCAAATTTTCGATGGAACCAGCAAATAGAATCAGCTTCAGGCAGGTCTGAAACAGAATCAGTAGGTCGTACCGCGGTATAGACTTTCAAATTTGTCGAAAGGGAGTTGTACAGGTTATCCGCTTCTTTCGCCAATGCGCGGTAATCTGTTCTGTGGTGGGAGCTCACCAGAGGAGCTCTAATAGGTTCTGGCAGCAGCTGTAAAAAAAAAATGGCGAAAAAGAAAACACGGTTTGTGTTCTCCCAACAAAGCCAGCATTAATTTTCCCATCATGTCAGTGGACCTGTTATCGCCCAGTTCTTTTATGCTCAATAAGGCTGCTACTTTTTCTTCCTCTGAGAAACTATAGGTCTCTATAAAAGGAAAGACTTGAGTATGTCGTACTTTTGACTTGAAGGAGGGGAGGAAAATATGGATAGGGATCTTGCTGCTGTAGCTGCATCAAGCGCCGCTACGACGTAGTAGTATTTTGTCTCGTCAGTTGTGATCCCACGCAAAGTAAACTGGGCCTCTGTTTGTGCGAACCACGCGGAAGGACAAGAAGTCCAGAACGTAGGAAGTTTGAGTGCTACAGTTTCGATTGACATGATTTTGAAAAACGTATCGCCGTTACTAGATTTTAGGTTATGCTAAATTAAATCTAGATCTAGATTTCTAGACAAGGTTACCTTAAATCACGTCGGGGTCACCAATGTAGCATGAAGAGACACACACAGATGTAGGCTACATTGTTGCAGGGCGAGAAAAAACTTTCATTCATTCCACCCGAACAGCTTGGACATTTAAGCTTTCACCGAACTGTTACTCACGAACTCAAGTGCGACGTACATAACAAAAACACGCCTCAACAATTTGGTTTAAGATTAGTCGCCACGATTATTATTATTATTATTATTATTATTATTATTATTATTATTATTATTATTATTATTATTATTATTATTATTTATTTATTTATTAATTTAATTTTTTTTGGAATGTTTAATTTTTTTTCTCATTATTTCTATTATTAATTTTTTACAGGGAAAATACAAAAGTATATGATACCCCCCCCCCAAAAAAAAACAACAACAACAACCAAACAACAACAACAACAACAACAAACAAAACCCCAAAACAACAAGCAAACAAGCAAAAATACGTACACCCTCATTTCCTCCCAAGGTATACGATCGCCGGCTGGTTCGACGAAGGGCCGACACTGGCGGGTGAGCTGGACATGCGAGAGAAGCCAATGTCTAGCGGAGGGTCCAAGTCAAAGGGCAGAGACATCAACCCTTACGTCAGTCGTTTACCTCACACTGGGCTCTCGGGGGACCAGAAACAGAGGGTGTATCCTGCCAAAGACTACGTGGTCGGTATTATTGTTTTTTGTTTTGTTATTTTGTTGTTGTTTGATTGTCTATATCCTTTGTGGGTTTTTGGTTGCTTTATTATTGTTTTGGTTGGGGGTGGTTGTTTCTTTGGGGGGGGGGGGGTTATCAAAGCTTAAAAAAAAAAAAAATTAGACGCCAGACAACCCAACTCCCTTCATCTCTCTCACAACCCACTGTCAAGTGAAAGTGAAAAGTGAAAAGCTGAATAAATGCGAGTACGATAATATATTTGTTCATACTACAAGCGACAAAATTACCAAATATAAAGTCAGTGACCTCCCTTTGGTAAACTCGCTCATGTAAAAGTCTATTTCACGATGCCGCGTATAGCCTAAAACATCCAAGTAAACAAATTGCATAGCAACAGTAAGATTTCTCTGTCGTAAAGCCCTCGGAATTAGGAAAAAATAGGAACACTATTAATTTTGTGTCTTGCACTTCGACCATAAAGCATGATTCTCACAGATGTACAAAAAACAGTAGAAGAACCTGCTGACAAAGTTCCCAAAATCAATCAAGTAAGTGTTGCCTTGTTGAAGTTAAAGGCACGCGAAACTTAAAATGGCTGGCAAGGTTGTCAATTCGATGTAGAGATGTCTAGATCTAGATCTAGATCTAGATCTAGTCTAGATCTAGACCTATTGTCTAATTTTCGAACTACTCAAAATCAGATATAGTTCTCACAGAATTAAGTAAGAGTTAGGGAGAATGATAAGAGGCGGGGTATGATTTGAGGCTACTAAAAATGCATTAAAATGTCAGCATTATTTTAATAGAATTCTGAAAAATTAAAATCTACAGTTGAGTAAGGCCTCAATTTTGAAAGGATGCTGAACTGGCGCTGATAAATTTTTATAGAGCGAACTATGGAGTACAGAGAAAGCTATCTACTTTTAGTTGCCTTTTCAGTATTCCCGTTAACTTTGCATATTTTATTGAAGCTTAATTTGAGTTCCTATTTCACAATTTTAAAAGAATTTTTGTAGTGTAGCCTATTTGTTGTGTAAAAATTGGAGTTGGACTTAACACTTTGTAGTCACTTGGCGCAATAATGCGCCGGTGAATATTATCCATTCCGGTCACCTGGCACACTTCTGCGCCAGGCCCGAGAGGTCCCGTTGTTGTGCGCCTGGCCCGAGAAGTCCCGTTGCAGTCGCTCTGATCCTGGCTGGGTGACCATGAGATGGGGTATTTTGTACTGCTGGCTGTGTGACTGCAAATTGTTAAAGTCAGTGCTCTGGCTCTACATATTTCTTTATTCATGAATAATTAACTAAGCTTGCAAGTTATTTTGATGTACTGTCTCTTTGCTGTAGGATATATATTAGCCATTGCAGCCTGATAGGTCATACCACCACAGTGGGTGGTTGGCAGGAGCTCTGGTGTGGTTTGCTTCTTCTTTCCTATCAAACATCTATCGTCCTTATCTCCCCTTCTTCTTTTTTATGTTTGTCACTCTCTTGTAACACCTCTAATCTTCTGTCGCTTATATGACCTTATGCAGTTGCGAGCGTCGTAAAACCTCTACTAAAACTATAAAAAAGATACCATCACAATTTTTCTCATCCCTTTTCTGCTCTTTTGACTGTTGTTTTAGGTTTTGTATGAGTTTTTAGGCTCTTGTGCCACACTGCAGCTCATGTAAGTGCTTCAGAACTAGAGGTGTTACTAGAGAGTAATTTTAACATACCAAAAAGGAGGAGAAGAGATAAGGAGGAGAGATGTTTGGTTACCAGATACATATAGTATCAAACCACGCCAGAGCATCTGCCAACCACCGACTTAATTCTGATTGTCAAGTGAGAATAGGATTGGTGGCTACGTCATCATGAGTTTGCTGCTGAGTAAATGAATTTAAAAGAATTTGGTGAAGTACTTTTCCAGAGAATGCAAACCAGGGAGCAGAACCCACAACATTTTTACCTCAGACACATTGTTTTCATATCAGGCTAGGAAATAAATCTTTCTTGCTTGTAGAGAGGTGTTGGAATCTAAATGCTGCTTCTTGTCTGTCTGTCTGTCTGTCTGTCTGCCTGCCTGCCTGCCTGCCTGCCTGCCTGCCTGCCTGCCTGCCTGCCTGCCTGCCTGCCTGTCTGTCTGTCTGTCTGTCTGTGTCTGTCTGTCTTTGTCTCTCTAGCTCTCTGTCTCTCTCTCTGTCTTTCTCTGTCTGTCTCTCTCTGTCTCCGTCTCTCTCCCCCCCCCTTTCTCTCTCTGTCTCTCTCTCTCTTTCTCTCTCTCTCTCTCTCTCTCTCTCTCTCTCTCTCTCTCTCTCTCTCTCTCTCTCTCTCTCTCTCTCTCTCTCTCTCTCTCTCTCTGTCACCCTCTACTCTTTGTCACCCTGTCTCTGTCACTCTGTCTCTCCCTCTCTCTCTCTCTCTCTCTCTCTCTCTTTCTCTCTTTCTCTCTCTCTCTCTCTCTCTCTCTCTCTCTCTCTCTCTCTCTCTCTCGATACACATACTTTTACACATACACACTTACAAACACACACACACACACACGCACATCCTCCACTTATATGTATAACATGCCTCTGCTAATATCTCTTTCTTAACAATCTTTTCAGCCAAAGAGGCACAAAGCAAAGATTGCTGTATGGTAAGTAGACTTGGTGATTCTTGGATATGTAAAATCTTGACTAAATTCTATATTGCTAACCGCGTGATTCAACCTCTAAAGTGACAAAATTTTCGAAAATCACTTTTTGATCCCTTTATGTAGCACAGCCTTTGATACACCTTATGTTAAAATCCAGAGTTTGAAAGATTACTGCAAAGTGTTTCAATCCCTCAGTAAATCAATTTCTTATATCACACAAGTCCCCAATTTCCATCTGATTCAACTGCCCAAGTGCCAGTTTTGCTGCCCAGTGGCGAGTGGGCTGTTGCATCTGGCAGATTCAGCGGCTTGTTGAAGTGTTCACCTGTCACGTAGGCGGCGTGACCTACACAACTATAGCCTTTGTCAAAACAGACTGAGGGTAACTTCAAAACAACGTTTGCTAACCTCGACTCAGATCGAACCCTATCGATAGCCAGATGGTTTTGTCAAGGCAGTTTGCGTAATCTATCACTAGGTAGGTTTGGTAATGTAGTTGAAACAGGGCAAGATGGCATCAATGAATATGTTAATACTGACTTGACCTAGTCGGTAAATTATAGCAAAAGCTACCGACGAATGAATTTAAAAAAGAAAGTATGATTGACAGATAAGGGACGCTTATTTCCCATTCTGTAGGCTACAACTATTGGAAAATATTTTTATCACAACTTTTCGCGTTTCTTATTTTACTTTAAGTGTGCGCCCCTTGCTTTGTCTGTCATGTACCATTCTTGAATCATTGATTAGTTAACCAGTGCCGGGAAGATGATTCTTAATTTGTCACTCACAAAAAAGCAACTCATAAACATATTCACCTCGCAAATTTTCTCTTTAATAAACCTTCAATTACGACTCTCCAGCTCTACACTTCAATATGAAACAAGTCTCATACATTCTACCTATATACCAAAAAATGAATTTGTATACAACTGCCCTCACACAGTGATTATTCATGACTGTTGCAAAGACAGTCTACATGACTTGGAGATGGGAGCTCCACGATTGTCATATTACAGGGAGAGAGGAGGCTAGGACAAGCAATTTTGTGATAAGTACTTCTTCGACAAGCTTGACAAAATTGCTTTCCCATTGCTATAAACAGAATACAGGCAAAATTTATCTTGACTATCACTTTCAAAGTCTCAGAGGCCTTTATAGAGAGTACCGAAGAAAACGGAAAAAGTCACACGCCGTCCCAGACGTCTTTCAGAGAGATTTTCGAAAATAGCCACCTTTTCTTGTATGTGTCGGAAGGATCAATGTGATGTATGCAAGGTAGGAGAAAGAATCTATCATTAAGCTTGCACAAAACCCAGTGGATGGGAAAAGATTATGTCTAGTGTGCATGGACTTGGAAGCGGATTTATTGTTAGTACGGCTTTGAATGCATCTCTACTACACCATAACATAACAGGACCAAATTAGCCGTCTATACTTTTTAAAATTTGGTAACCAAAGATGTGAAGTGTCTCGTTTGGCACCTAGGAGGAGCGTACTGACAATAATTAATATGCCATGTTCATTATATTCAGAGATGGCTGTACTTATTAGACCACAACGCTATCTTGCCAAATGCAATCAGTGACATTTGTACCAGATAGAGCAAAATTGTTGAACACAAATACCTGGAAAAGGAACAAACGCAAATGGAAGTTGACAGCACATACAGTGTAATCAAAAGGTGCCTGAAAAATTGTCTGGTCTATGTGCTCATGGATAATCTTGAACGTTTTTAAGAAAGCAAGACTATTCCCCCCTTCTTTGACTTTGATGTTCAATTTCTGGACCATTCAGACCTGGCTGAGACAAAAACGACCCCGTTGTCACAAACGTTCGTTGCCTTTGATACACACTGAACAAGTACATCCAGTACAAATTAAACGTTAAAATTAATGGTCCTTTTTCCAACTCCATGAGGCCAAAAACAACCCTACCCCAGAAGACACCCGACCAAATATCTGAAATAATTGCTCTTTTTATAATTACTCTTCCATTTATTATGATTTGCTTTTGTCGATAGCTCAAATGCCCAAGCGATCACTGGCGCTCGTCGAGTGGTGTTGATTAACATGATTCAAATAATAATAATAATAATTGCATTTATATAGCGCATATCCATGCTCAAGAGCATGCTCTATGCGCTTTACAACTATTATTACCCCAGCAGACCCCCTGAGAACACCCAGAAATATTCTCGGCTTCCGGGGAAGCATACAGTGCAAGCTGCGGATTTCACACGCTCATACACTATGAAACTGACAAGATCGTTCACTGTCTATAGCCGGGTACCCATTTCCACCTAGGTGAAGTGAGGAAAATTTGTGCATAGTGCCTTTCCCAAGGACACAACGTCGGGTCCCTGATGGGATTCGAATCCTGGGCCTTACGGTTGCGAGTCTGAGAGCTTAACCACTAAGGCCACCTACACCACAAATGCCTAGATGCCATCATACTGTCACTTAGGCAGTTGAATCACGTAGATTTTGGTAGGTTTAAACCATCGTCTTACATCATATTATACCATATATCTGAATTTCAGCACATCTGGAGTCTCTACTCCCTGTGGGGCCAACATGAGGAAAGCAGTGACTTTATGTGCGAAATATGATTTGATTTATTTTACAAAGGGAGACCTCAACTAGACCTTTACCAACCATTGTATTTAACTGTCGATAGTAATGGGACAAAATATTTTAATTTTTATGAGCTTTGCTTCCATTGTTCATAAAATTTGTTTATTTTATGACTCACTCAATGATACAAATTACTTTGTCATAACAACTACATTGTATTCTTTTTAATGCACCGCTGTGGTGTGGTGTGGATTCAACTCTCTCTCTAAGACTGTTATAGAGGCTGTAATATTGAAAGATTTATATAAATCTCTTCATGGCTGAAGAGCCATGGAAAGTCCCCACAGGGCCCATGGTAAAGAATGCTTCTCAGGGGATTTGATCCAATGCCATCCAAATCATAATTGAGTATGATACTCAACTGGACTTACTTTGACTTTGACAATGAAAAAAGAATGATTGAAGTGAAAATACTGTATTGTCATAGTTTCACTGTCTTGTGCCTGCCCCCTCCCCCCCACCCCCCTAATAAAAAAGAGTTATATCAGAGAATGTTTTATCCTTTAACCAACATGGGCAGAATACTACCAGTATCACGCTCAGTTAAAAGTTCTTCTCCTTTATTATAAAATGAGTAACTTTGATTCAAATACTAGAATTCTTCATCGTTACAAGTATAAACTCTGTTTCCAAACCCTAAAATCATTTTTGTGTTTCTCACCTGTGGACCTGACACCAAGAGTAAAAATGTTGACTTATGTTTCAGGGCGGACTTGTCAGTGGATGCTGTTGACCGTCTCAATGAATCTCTCAATGCTGATCACATCAAACAGTAAGTCTCTTATCAAATCCACGTAGATAATATTTTGGTGGGCACATTACAGACGTAAGATCGCAATGTTTGCTGGCACCATATTAAATTTAGTGTCTGAATGAATCGTTGTTTGTTAAACTGTACTGAAATTGCTTGATTTACTATAGTTTTCCTCTTTTTTAGGGAGTTCAAAAGTAGGTGTTCTTACTACACCTTCACCAACACAATTTAGATCATTCAGGAGCTTGGTTTCAACCCTTCCTGTCAGGGCCAACCCAAGCTGAGAGAGATACAACATCTCAACAGAAATACTGAGATACTCTGTAAAAATTCTCACCACTCAAGAATTGAACTTGGCTCTCATGTGTATGAGTATGACAGCGAAGCACCTTACTTCTATACAACTTCTGCTACTACTACTACTTCTACTACCACCTCTATTTCTGCCACCACAACAACTACTACCCTCTCCCCCCGGCAACTCCTTCTTCAACAATTTCAGGGGTGGTGACAAAGGGGGCTTCTGTTTGTTCTACTACAGTGAAACTTGAAGAACTGAGTCGTCAGGCCTAACCTTCAATTTCGAATTCTGATTGTTATCACTATCTACACCAACGACTGTACTTTTAGTAACAAAAACATCAAACTAATAAAATTTATGGATGATTCCACTCTATAAGGCCTTATAACAACAAATGAGAATGAATACAGAGACGCTGTAAATGTATTTATAAATTGGTGTGATAACCTCTTCCTTTTAATGAATGTAAAATGAGACAAACGAATTAAAATAGACTTTAGAGTAAAACAATACCCATTGCTACCTGCAGTATTAATTAAAAATGAGGAGGTGAAGGTTGTAAACTCATATTATATCTCGTAATAACAATTGATAACAAACTTGACTGGCATCCCCAAGCTGCTCTTATGTATCAAAAAAAATAAATCAAAGAATGTTCCTTTTAATTAAGGAAATTAAGAAGTTTTTGTGTCGATAATAAGATTTTGTCCCTTTTATTCCATTCTGTGATTGAAAGTGTGTCACTATTTTGTATTTGCTGCTGGGCTGGAATTGTAGGGTGAAAGATAAAGAAAAATTTGACAGAACCATTAAGAAAGCCAGCAACATCTTTGGATATCGTTTTACTAGAATTGAGGAAATGTTTAAGATCAGAAGTATAAGAAAGATAAACAGCATCATAAACGACCCATCACTCCCCCTTTCCACACAAATTGTAAGATCACGCAACTGCAGATATATATGTATCTCTAAAAACAAAGAAAGAAAAATACAAATAAACTTTTAAAACCATCTAGTATAAGGTTACTGTCAGAATAAACATCAATGTGTATTGTTTTTTTGAGTATGTATCTTTAACTAACTCTAAAGATCTTGTAATTAAATTCCTGCATGTTGTTGAATGATAATGCATCTCATGTGATATGTAATTTGTCAGCTTTACTACTTTCCTTTTCATATTGAATTTTAAATGAAAATAATATAATATAATTTAAATTTTTATTTATACCTTCATGTGTTTTTATGGTCCTGTACAGCCAAGAAAAATTTCCCTCTGGGACAATAAAGTATTCTCTTATCTTATCTTATCTTTTCTTACTGTCTTTATTAATGTATCTTCTTAACAACTGAAGTGTGGAACCAACATCACAATTTGAATCTGTTTGTAAGAATGATGTGAATTGTGCATTTAAACTGGAGTTGAAATTCTGTTAAATTAAAAGGAAGCAAGCTTTACTCTTTACAGCGTCATGTCATAATTTTAGTTTACGTAGAACTTTTCAAGCCGAGTGTTCACTAGCAATTCCTATTCTTGATTGAGTTAGAGTTCCTCAAATTCAAATGTAGAAGAAAATTGCAAAGCCTTGTTCGGAGTAAAACTTATTCCGTGGTTGCTACAGAGTCTTCATTCAATGGGTTTTTTTTTTTATTTCAGGGTCCTTGCTGACATCTTCATGCTGGACAACTACAAAGACAGTTTGAAAATTGGGATCATCATGGACTTGTACTACTACACCCTTCAGTACGCCAGGCAGCAAAGCTTCTCCCCTGAAAAAACGTCAGCCTTTTTTTCCATCATCAAAAAAGTTTTTGAAGTTTGCATAGGTAGGCTAAAAGTTTTGATAGCATTTGCATTTATTGCCACATTTGTTTCAAGACAAAATGAAATGTTTCCAATTTGAAACTGAGATGTTTCCAGTATTGACATTTTGAGATGTTTAGCTTTTTATGTTTTCAAAGACACTGATTATGACATTATGTCATCTGTCTGTGTGTCATGCTTAATATAATATTGAAGGTTATATTGCATTTTTGGGAAAGATATCTTGGTAATGGATGAAGCTGTTTTCACTAGAGATCTAATTTGAATGTTAGAAATGCTAAAATTTGGTGCACGTCATATTTGCTCCCTAACTGTTCTTTGTTTTTAGTTCTAGTATGAGTTTTACGACACGTGCAACACAATAGGTCATATAAGTGCCGAAGATCAGAGGTGTACAAGAGAGTAACAAACACCGAAAAGAAAAAGGAGGGGAGATAAGGATGATGATAGATGTTGAATAGGAAAGAATGAAGAGCAAACTACATGAGAGCACCCACTAACCACCCACTCCATTCTGTTCGTGATTATATTTTCTTTTTAACTCTGATCCTCTGTTTAATGTATAATTATTTCACAGAGAAATCATGTTGGTTGTTACATTACATGTATTATCCAGGGTACTTTATGATTAATTTCTAAGAGATTTGACAGTTTCATCTATAATTCCTGGTTTTGTAATATGTTCAGTTCAAAGATGCTCTTGTGATGTGGTAGAATTAATTCTGAGATGACATTATCCTGTTATATAAATTTATGTTGCTGTTTCATGAATAATTTAGAGTAGAGATTGTTTATGGGTTTTTTTGCAAGTGGTTGGAGACGTTCTGGTGTGGTTTGCTCCTTCTTTCCTATCATACATCTATTATCCTTCTCTTCTCCTACATTTTATTTTTGTATGTTACTTTCTAGTAATAATACCTCTAATCTTCAGCATATAAATATGATCTTATTGTATGGCAAGTGCCATTAAACTCGTACTTATACTACTTATACTATGCTAAAAACTTTTGTTTTCTAATGTGCTTTCTTCAGAGACTCCCTTCGGCAACCTTGACCACACTTTTGAATACTTCAAAGATCTCATTCATTGTCACTCTGTCAATGTGAGTATTACTATTACTGGCATGTAAATGGAAAAAAAAGTTTTTATGAAATTTGATTTATTAAATTAACCTGGAAATATCAAGGCTGCTGTGTTATAATCCCGTAACTGTTTCCATGAAAAAATTTTGAGGGGCAAAAAAAAAAAAACGTCCTTGCTTGACGTTGATTTCAAGAGGGTTTAATTTTGATGCATAGCTTGATAACTTGATATGTTTTAACGGGTGGTTTTTTCAAGTTTTTTTTTTTTTAATGTAGCAGTTTTTACGCCCCCATCAACACAATTTAGATCATTTAGGGTGTCGGCTTTGACCCTGTTTGTCAAGACCTACTGGGCTGAGACAGATACAATATCCCAACAGAAAGTAGAAAGACCAAGATACAGATACTGGATAAAAATTCTTGGGAATGGAACTCAGGTCTCCTGCATGCAACAGTGAAGAGCCTAACTACTACAGTGGAGTCCACTTATAACGAGTCCTGAAACAACGAGAAGTCTGTTATAAAGACAGTATTCTAAAACCCCGTTTTTTCTCCTTCTTTATCTTTGTAAATAAAAAACTGCTATTGCGCAATCAGACCGTCACGCGAGTCGGTTATAACGGAATACTGCTGCTGCTGTGCACAGCGCACAAACCAATTAAACATATTAAAAAACCTTGCCAGTTGAGAAAGTTGTTGGTGATCCAGCGAAACAAAGAATGGGAGAGCCCACGCGAACCAACGATGAAGACCAAAGTGAATGAGTGGGGAGGGTGTGGCATGCGCAGACAAGCAGAACGCATCGAGTGATAGGCCAGCCCAGTCTAGATTATCTAGGCATACCGTGCCTCTCACTTCTCTGGTGCGGGATGAAGAGGTCACAATGCTGTGATAGATGGAGTGAATGTGTGACGTGCGCAAGCAGACGCAACGCACCACAGGGTGTGGTGGGGTGGGGGACAACACAGCGGGCAAATTAGCCTAGAGCGAGAGCCCCTTCTTTCTGATCGCTAAAGCCGACTTATCAACATTGCTAGTGCTAGAGAAAGAAACCTGATTCGATTTTTGATCAAGTAAGACCTAAATCTAGAGATCATGTTGAACAAATCATCATCAGGGGAATACAAACAAAAAAATACAAAAAGGAATAAACAGAACACCAAACTGGTAGATCAGGCCTACTTTACTATTTCCCTTGAATTTATTACTGGATCCCTTGTAACGAGAATCCTGCTATAACGGACGTTTCGCACCGTTCCCCTCCCTCTCGTTATAACAGGATTCCACTGTACACCACAGATGCTGGTGCAATGAAAGTGAAATCTTGTCTTGAGGATTAGACTTTTATTAAGGACCTGCAGAATGAAATCAGCAATAGTTTTAGAACAAAAAGTGAGTTGACAGTTGACCTTTTTGTTCCTGGTCCACAGTTAGAGTATTATAATTTATTATACGTTTGTTTCTTGCCCAATTTCCCCAGCGTCCACCCTACAGTATTGAGCTGTTCACACCGGATGAAGTGAGGAAAATCACAGAGTACACCATCAACACCTTCTTTCGGCACTTCAAAATGTACAAGTATGCATTCACACCAATGGTAAGTCAATTTTTTTGTTTGAGTTTGTTTTAGTAAAGTAAAGAGAAGCACATCGACACAATATAATGATCAATTAGTGTTGGGGAAAAGTAAAACAGATAGACAGAAACAAAACAATAGAGGGAAAGAAAAGAAGAAGGACTATGACCTACCAGTAGGGGCCTCCAACCACCTGCAGTCAATTCTTAAAAATGTACTTTGTTAAGAAAACACAAATGAAAATAAAACTTTACCTCAATTTTAAAATTAGAATGCAATTTAAAAATAAGTCTTTTAAATGACAATTTTCTGTTAAAAAGTAGTGAAGTGCTCTTGTAGAATTAGATGCAAAAGCTATGTTGATGATCTCATGAATTAAATTATTGCTTTGTTCCGTTACAGTCCTTATGCTTGTATAGATTTTTAAAATTGAATAATTTCCTTTATCTTCCTCCAAGGTACGCCTGGATCTTGCAATCAGCTATGTTGGAATGCCCCCTTCACCTCCACCTTCAGAAGGTACTCATTGTCAATCATACTCAATTGCTTCAGTAATTTTTTTCCCAGGTTTCTGATTATTGGAGCAAGAGAGATGCTTATACTTATAACTTACTTCGTAACCTCAGTCAAGCAAAATTTTTATTTCATATTGAAATGATTGTGACTGAGAAGAAAAAATATAAAAATTCTGTTTTATCAGTCAACAAGGCTGCTTCAGTCTTCACCTTAGGCAGCAGAGAGAGAGTAATGTTCAGTAGAAGAGATGAATATGTCTTGATTGTTTTTTTACTACTGTTTGCAGTACGAGTTAGAGTTAGACAGTGTGTGTGTGTGAGATACTTAGATAAATCGTAGATGAATAATGTGAGAGAGAGGGTGTGAGAAAGAGAGGGAGAGAGAGAGAGAGAGAGAGAGAGAGAGTTGTAGAGACCCTACTGATATTTTTGTATTTGTATATGATTGGGCAAGATGTTTTGTATCATAATTGACAAAGATGTGTAATAATTGAGCAAGATAATTATATATTCTTGTGTCACCAGCAGATGGACAAGACGCAGAAACGACGCCGGGAGGGGACGAGACTCCTCAGAATGACGATGCCAAGGAGGAGGAGATTGGTGAGTCAGCTTTTTCTCAATGCAGACACTTAAACTTATCTAGAGATTAACTCATTTTATACAAAGTGCAGTTGCCAAGAGCGATTTCCCGCGTCCAAGGAATTTTTTTGGTTTTTCAGCATAAAATGAGTGTGTTAGAGTTATAGTAGAGGCTTCACTTCAAATAAAGGATCCACATGCTTGGCAAGCCAGAGATGAATGGTGCACGTGCAGAATCCAGTATGAAATGTGTTAAATTATTAAATATATTGATAGAACCCCTGACATTATTTCATATTATGTCTCTTTCACAGCACAATCACAAAAAAAAACCCTTGAGAAAACCAACTGAACTTTACAATTATGCAACTCCCTTGGCTTGCTTGCTAGCGTGGTGCCTGTTCCATTTTCCTCGATCGTGTAGATCGTGTAGATTGTAAATCTTTTCCACTCCCACTGACACAATTCAAATAATTTTGGACTTCTTCAACTCGACCATTCCTATTAGGCCAACCCGGGCTGAATGAGATACAACGTTCCAGCAAAAAGATGGGGAAACTTCTTTTAAAAAACACTTACCCAGGCAAGAATTGGATTCACATCTTCTGCATGCAGTGGCGAAGAGCCTAACTATTTTTTATTATACCTCAAATAGCCGATACTTTCTCTTGAATATTTTTTATGCTTCTTTTGGAGGTGATCATTCCGGTGCAAGTACTTTTGTTTTGGTTCGATAAAGTTCTCTCTTTGGAGTGAATGAAATTATATTATAGGTCAAATGTGATAACCGTTATAATTTAACAATACGTTGGCAGTACTGAGTACAAACGTATCTCAAAACTTGCCAAAAATGACTTACGTCTGTATGCAGTACTTCCTGCATATATTATCATTTTGATGAAATGTGATGATGACCTTTTCAGATGAAGAGAGACAGGCAGCGAGGGAAGAGCTGAAGAGCATTGTGAAGAATTTCCTGACCACAGAGTCCAAGAAGATTGAGGGCAGCGTGGACCAGCAGGTCAAGACTGCCGTGGAAGCTCTCAACAACAAGATAGACCAGATCACAGACGCAGCTCCAAAAGCTGAGGGGAAGGGGAAGAAGAAGTAGTTTATGATAGTGATAGATGGAAAGGGGATGAAGAAGTAGTTTATGATAGTGATAGATGGAAAGGGGAAGAAGAAGTAGTTTATGATAGTGATAGATGGAAAGGGGATAAAGAAGTAGTTTATGATAGTGATAGATGGAAAGGGGAAGAAGAAGTAGTTTATGATGGATAAAAGGGGGAAGAAGTAGTTTCTGACGGACAGATGGGGAAAAGTAGTTTCTGATGGACAGATGGGGAAAAGTAGTTTCTGATGGACAAAAAGGGAAGTAGTAAGTGATGGTAAGAAAGGGGAAGTAGTTTATGATGGACAGAAAAGGGAAGAAACAGTTGTTTATTATGGACAGAAAGGAAAGGGAAAGAAAAAGTAGTTAAGACAGAAGGGAGAAAAAGGGGTTTCTCATAGAAGAGGGAAGAAACAATAAATTATTAAGTATGTACAGAAGGGGGGGGGGGGGGGGGGG